GTCGTGAATTAGAAGTAGTGTGGAATGGTACGTATGATGTGTGGATTTAAAGCTTGAAATATAATCGGTGATATTTTCGATTTGGCGTACTTGGTATGGCAGGTTCATGAAGGTTTCAAGTTTTCACAAATTTTCTAAGTTTTGAAAATTTTGCAAATTATATCATTTTTGCAATTTTTGCCAATTTTACAAATTCTATCATTTTTGCGAATTTTTGCAGCTTTGCAATTTTACAATTTTGTAAATTTTTGCAATTTTACAATTTTGTGAATTTTTGCAATTTTACAATTTTGTGAATTTTTGCAATTTTACAATTTTGCGAATTTTTGCAATTTTGCAAACTGTGCAAATTTTTGCAATTTTGCGAGCATTAGAAATTTTGTAAATGTGGCAATTTTTCAAACTTTGCAATACTACAAATTTTCGAACTATTAAATTTCATAATTTATAATTAGCAAAAATTTGTGCAGATATCTACATATCCACATATGTACTTGTCCACATATCTACATATCTACGTATCTAAATATCCACATACCCACATATCTACATGTTCATCTACATATCCATATGTAGACTCCCACATTCCTATTACATATTCACATATCTACATATCCACGTATCTAGATATCTACATATTCACATATCCACATATGTACATGTCCATCTACCTATTCATATGTAGACTCCCACATTCTTATTATATATCCACATATCCACATATCTACGTATCTAAATATCTACATATTCACATATCTACATATGTACATGTCCATCTACATATGCATATGTAGACTCCCACATTCTAATTACATATCCACATATCCACATATCTACATATCTAAATATCTACATATGTACATGTCCATCTACCTATCCATATGTAGACTCCCACATTCTTATTACATATCCACATATCCACATATCTACGTATTCAAATATCTACATATCCACATATCCACATATCTACATATGTACATGTCCATCTACATATGCATATGTAGACTTCTACATTCTTATTATATATCTACATATCTACATATCTACGTATCCAAATATCTACATATCCACATATCCACATATGTACATGTCCATCTACATATGCATATGTAGACTCCCACATTCTTATTAAAGCTAACTATAGTATTACTAGGTGCCCATCAAATGTACAATTACTACACCAAATACAATAGACATCCTACTATCCAAACATCCATATCTCCTCAGACTCTTATATCCCTAGATCTAACCATTATATTCCTAGACCCGCACATACTTATTACACCTACCTATAATATTACAAAGTGTGCATCAAATTACTATACCGATTGTCAACCTTCTACGTAACGGAATAGCTCCCAGTCAATTACCCCGATGTTACTCCGTTCATTCAAGATAACTAGCGAAAAGAATTTCTGCGACAATGAATCAGAAATTACGCAAACGTCCACCACCAGCTGTCCAGAAAGAGTGCACACGTACACACGTCGAGCATCGTGTTCACCGGAACAAGCGTGGAATCGCCATTCAAGCCGGACACGTGTCGCGGTGTCGCGTCCTTGGCGTTCGCAAAAATCCAGAGAATCTCCGTGGAAATCGTCATCACGTGCCGCAGAATTTACTATCGTGCTACACGTGGCGAACCGAACGTGATGCCACGGGTTGAAATCGTCATCGATAACAATATGAATGAGCGTATAAAACGGTCAGATCCAACGCCGGTTGTACTCTTGTTGTTGTTGTTGTTTTTACAGATCTAAAAGATTCGAAGCACGTGTGCCTCAGATACACGAGGTGTTCTCGGTTACGTCAGTTCGTGTTTTCTTTTTTGGACATTGTTTTTCGTCATGTTACGTTCGTTACTTCGACGTTACACGCGTTGTGTTATGGTACACGTGTGATTGCGATAGTGCAGGGAAATGACACGTGTATTCTTCGGGTTTGGAACTTAGGATTTTTATATTTTGTTACTTTCTGAGTCAGGGAGTTATAGATTAGAAATTTCTGTGCTTATGAAGACTTATGGCATTTTGTACATTTTTGTACGAAACAGTGATTTGTTATTTGATCTCTTGAGGGTTGAAAGCATCATGTGACATTTGAAATTTTGGTCAGGTAGTGTGTTATTAATTATATTTCATTCCTGAAAACGTAGCATAAAACTCTTGCATCTCAAGGATCTCTAAACCATGAATTAGCTTAACCTAAATCTTACTCCATCACTACACTCGTATTTAAATAGAATAGCTAATAAAAAATATTTTATTAAAGACTTGTTTATTTTCATATGCAATAGCCATCCTCCAATAACCCAAATAATTTCATAAATTTTGCTGAAAGACTACCTCTAACAAATTATGAAATAAATACTAAAACAACTCTTTCAATTAAAAAAAATTGCAAAAAAAATTTGCAAATTAATAATAAAATTAATGGCTAAAAATAAGAATAGCATAAAATTCTGTAATTGCATGGAAGAGTAATAGTAAATATAATGTAAGAATAAGTAGAAAGAGAAAATGAGACACGAAACCTCATTCCCCTTGCACGCAACAGTGCAGAATTGTCCGATAATAATGTGGACCGCTGAAAGGAATCGTACATAAAAACCTATCTATTTTCAACGTCCACTATCTGCAGTTCTCGCACAACAACGTAATTGTATCAAGCATTAAACAATAAAAAAGAGTAGAAACCTACACTCGATAAAAGTATTCGAAATCGATGCCGGCTGGAACAATCGAAAACCAAGATCCTCTGACACAATGGGTATCGAGTTCCACTTGGCAGATACGCAATCGATACGGGAACCTTTCGACGAACCCGTAACCCGACACCGTTCACCAGGCGACACGAATATCGCGCTTGGTGCGTCTGAGAGAAACAACAACGGCGTCGATCGGAATTCAATAAAACCGATCAGTATTTTTTTCGAGTAGAAGTCATCGGCATTCGACCCGACGAACCCGTCTACGGAGGACGGTGATAATCAGCAGCCCCCAACGAGTTCTATTCATAGAGAACGATAATGGAGAATCGGAGTCGATCGTCTGCGAACGGAAACGAGGGTAGGAGGTCGATCTGCTCGAAAATACTCGGACTTATCGGGCGAAACATGGCCACGATACGAATTGAACTGGTCAGCAAATCCGCCTCCACGATCTTAGCCACACACGAAATGTCTAACTACACTTGCGGTACCCGTGAAGCCACGATTTCCATCTATGGGCTTTCTATAACGGAGCACTATGCACGAAGACGATCTCCTCTGCACCGAGCAAAGAGGAAAGAGATCTCGCGATCTCGCTTCATCGACCCCTTCTCTCGATCTACTGGAGCCAGACGGCACGGTCGTTCGCGTACCACCAGCATCCGACATGATCTCCCTCTTCGGATCCTCCCGAATAGCGGACCACCTACTCTCCGATCTCAGTTTCCCCTCCTTCATCTTGGTCCTCTTATCACTCCTCTCCTCCTAATCCGTGAAATCTGGAACAAGAACCGCGTGGCAAGGCAAGCCGGTACCAGTGGCACCGAGGAACTCGGTACCAACGGAGGTCTCCTCTCGATCAGGTCCGCGCTCTCCGTGATCATAAGCCTTCCACGTCGCGCTCGTTGCGATTACATCGTCCAGCATCGCGCAGAAAGTTTCCTAACCACCTGGATCAGCGTTTGAATAACCTGGACCAAGTCCCGGTTGCGCAGAAAGGCTCGTTTCGCCTTCAGTTAAAGACTTGTTTATTTTCATATGCAATAGCCATCCTCCAATAACCCAAATAATTTCATAAATTTTGCTGAAAGACTACCTCTAACAAATTATGAAATAAATACTAAAACAACTCTTTCAATTAAAAAAAATTGCAAAAAAAATTTGCAAATTAATAATAAAATTAATGGCTAAAAATAAGAATAGCATAAAATTCTGTAATTGCATGGAAGAGTAATAGTAAATATAATGTAAGAATAAGTAGAAAGAGAAAATGAGACACGAAACCTCATTCCCCTTGCACGCAACAGTGCAGAATTGTCCGATAATAATGTGGACCGCTGAAAGGAATCGTACATAAAAACCTATCTATTTTCAACGTCCACTATCTGCAGTTCTCGCACAACAACGTAATTGTATCAAGCATTAAACAATAAAAAAGAGTAGAAACCTACACTCGATAAAAGTATTCGAAATCGATGCCGGCTGGAACAATCGAAAACCAAGATCCTCTGACACAATGGGTATCGAGTTCCACTTGGCAGATACGCAATCGATACGGGAACCTTTCGACGAACCCGTAACCCGACACCGTTCACCAGGCGACACGAATATCGCGCTTGGTGCGTCTGAGAGAAACAACAACGGCGTCGATCGGAATTCAATAAAACCGATCAGTATTTTTTTCGAGTAGAAGTCATCGGCATTCGACCCGACGAACCCGTCTACGGAGGACGGTGATAATCAGCAGCCCCCAACGAGTTCTATTCATAGAGAACGATAATGGAGAATCGGAGTCGATCGTCTGCGAACGGAAACGAGGGTAGGAGGTCGATCTGCTCGAAAATACTCGGACTTATCGGGCGAAACATGGCCACGATACGAATTGAACTGGTCAGCAAATCCGCCTCCACGATCTTAGCCACACACGAAATGTCTAACTACACTTGCGGTACCCGTGAAGCCACGATTTCCATCTATGGGCTTTCTATAACGGAGCACTATGCACGAAGACGATCTCCTCTGCACCGAGCAAAGAGGAAAGAGATCTCGCGATCTCGCTTCATCGACCCCTTCTCTCGATCTACTGGAGCCAGACGGCACGGTCGTTCGCGTACCACCAGCATCCGACATGATCTCCCTCTTCGGATCCTCCCGAATAGCGGACCACCTACTCTCCGATCTCAGTTTCCCCTCCTTCATCTTGGTCCTCTTATCACTCCTCTCCTCCTAATCCGTGAAATCTGGAACAAGAACCGCGTGGCAAGGCAAGCCGGTACCAGTGGCACCGAGGAACTCGGTACCAACGGAGGTCTCCTCTCGATCAGGTCCGCGCTCTCCGTGATCATAAGCCTTCCACGTCGCGCTCGTTGCGATTACATCGTCCAGCATCGCGCAGAAAGTTTCCTAACCACCTGGATCAGCGTTTGAATAACCTGGACCAAGTCCCGGTTGCGCAGAAAGGCTCGTTTCGCCTTCAGGTGTATCCGCTGTTCATCCGTCAGCCGGTCTGTCGGACGCGACTGCCCGCTCGCCGCTCGTCCAACCAACTGGGGGACTGATAGCGGGCGCAGAAAATCGAAGACACGTGGCAATCGTGACGGAGAATGCATCAGAAAGCGGACCGACCGTGATCGATTCAGGGAAACGAGAGAACATCCAGTTAGTTATTCGCGTTACTTTCGCGGTATCAAAACACGCGGTATCCACATAAGTTTGGTGCGGTCGAGCCGTTTGTTCAGTTTATTGAACCCCGTGATGCCAAGAACCGGCGCGATGACACACAGAAGCAGGACCAGGACGATAGTCCTGCTGGGCCTGGTGCTCCTCACGCTTCTGGTCACCGTCAACGGCACACCTTACAAGAGGTCCCTGCTGAGGCTGTGCTCGAAGAACCTCAGCGACGCGCTGTACCTCGCCTGCAAGGGTCGAGGATACAACGAACCGTTCTCCTACAGTGGCGAGGATGACCCACAGGACTCCTTGGGACCAGGACTCGCGGAGGAGTGCTGCTACCACCAGTGCTCCTACGCGCAGCTCGAACAATACTGCAAACCGGATAAGAACAATCCCGTGGACGTCGAGTGAGTGGATGTTAGTTTCTCGTCTTTTTTCTTTTGATATTTTTACCCTGCACCCTCGACAACCCCTTGGCTCTCAGCTGGCTGGGGCTTCTTCAGTGACTTATTCCAGTGATTCCAGTAGAGTGATGTGGTAGGTGCTTTGTGAATTTAGTAGAACTAGTTCACTTTTTCTTAGAAAATTTATTGTTCGTTAAGTGAGGTGGTAGCTAAAGTCTTCTGGAGTTATAAACTCCAATCTGAAGGACCTGGGTCTCTAGATTTTGTGGATCCTAGATTCCTATGTCTCTAATTCTCAGATCGTTCATTCCTAAATGGTTCTCCGGGTTCTCAGGTTCAACCTGGGTTCTCGGGTCCCACATTCCTAGGTTTCAGACCCTAATCTCAAAATGTTTAAGTTCGAAAGTTTGATAGTCCCAAAATTCTAGTATCCCAAGCTCCCAAATACCTAAAACCCCAAAACCTAAAATTTGCAAATTCGCAAATTCCGAAATCCACAAAATGTGCAAATTCGATGCATGCTCTCGCTGTGTCTGATTCAGTGTTTTTTGGTGGTCCGTGGTCATCGATGGCCGCTTACCTCTGACACCAATAACCTTTCCAATAATACACGAAGTTTGAGATCGAAGCGGTTGTTCGATATCTCTTGTCGATGAAAAAAACTGAAACGCGAGATAGAAGAATTTATTGGCTTCTTGGAAATCGAGTGGATTTAACTGTTAGATTGAACCGCTTATTATCTAAACGATCCATTATGCAAAAGATCTCTGAAACAACGTCCACCTTTAACTCGGGTTTTTTCCAACGATTTCGAATCCAATTACCAGCTGAGATTAATTCGCTTGCACGATACTGACTGCTCGTTAATGTCCGCGACGATGTTATAAATTATTTATTCGCTCGATATTAACCCGTTGTCAATTCGTGAAACGTTGATAAACAAACGTTATAATTAAATTCTACTTTCATGGATAACGAGGGATGTTCAGCACGTGCCACTTGTTGATTCCATAAATATTTAACGTTCTATTTTATTCGAATATCGTACTGTTTTATTAATAAGCGAAAAGCTCGGTGATGCTTTGTGTCCTCTAACGCGCTCTGACACACGTCCATTTTCGCACAATTTATTTCATGAACTCAGTTAATATTCGATTGTTCATTCCCTGACAAATATCACACTGGTTCAAAATTAATTTTAAAAGTTACTGGATCTTAAAAGCTCAAATTTAGTTTTCATATCATTCATCCAATCATTGGATTAGCAAGATGACCTCCATGTCCTCATCAGATGTTAATAAGCTCAGATAGCGAAATAGGTGGTCAAACGTATTCTAGTTTTCGCAAGATATTTTCTGTACATAAACACACGTGGTCAGTCAGCTGACGACTTTGTTATATCACCATGTCATTGACTTTGATCAAATTTCAACGTAAACAGAAAGCATTTCCAGACTTATATTTACTTTATTAACTTTACAGGATTATTTCACTTTTTCATTTTACACATTTGTTATTTTCAACTGAAACTATTATTATGGTTGTGGTGTTGAATATTATACTTTAAATCTGAATATTTATAATTATTCAAAATTATTGGATCTACATTTTGATATTGAGTATCTTGATGGACACTTGGAGTCGTTTTATGAGACGGACGCCATCTTTGATCAAGAAGGAAAAGAATTTAAAGTAAATTCCTTGTTTGTGTACCTGAAACAACCTTTAGAAGGTTATTAACTCTCAGGTGGACCTTAAAGATGACTTTCCTCCATTTCAATTATAATGGACGCCATCTTTGATCAAGAAAGAAAAGAATTTAAAGTGGATTCCTTGTTTGTGTACCTAAAACAACCTTCAGAAGGTTAATAACACTCAGGTGGACATTAAAGATGACTTTCCTCCATCTCAATTATAATGGACGCCATTTTTGATCAAGAAGGAAAAGAATTTAAAGTAAATTCCTTGTTTGTGTACCTGAAACAACCTTTAGAAAGTTATTAACTCTCAGGTGGACATTAAAGATGACTTTCCTCCATCTCAATTACAATGGACGCCATGTTGTTAAAAAAAGGCGGGAATTATCTTAAATTTGAATTACTTTTCGCTCGAATTACTCTCTGTGCAAAAAATCATTGAAACCGAATGAACAAAAGTTATTTTCTGAGTTACTGCAAAATGAATCTTCAAAAATAAAGCTGACGTTCTACGTCAGCTAAGGGTTGCCATTAAAGGGTTGCAACCAGCCATCGTAGCGAATTCAAATCGGATTAAGAAAGCAAATAATTATCGAGCAAATTCGCGCAAAAACACCTATTTACTCGATCGTTGTTCGTGGCGGGTAATCGTCCGGCGTTGTTATTCTTTCATTTTTTCACGATAGAAGGGAGCCATCGAAGCTCCCGAGTGGACTTTTACCTCGTCGATAGTAGGTGGCTCGGGGCGTGTTATTAGCCCGTCGGCGAGCGTGGCAGACAGAAAAGCGGAACGAGAGAGAGAGCATCGAGAGAGATCGCTCGTATTTTTTTATCAACCGCGTGACGATAATCTCTGTCGCTTTTCCTAAAGTTCACGGTTGCGTGAAGTGGCCTCAGCAGGAAGGTTAGTCCGAAGTACTAGGACGAGTACCGAAGCTATCTTCGCCTCGTTTTTTCCTTCTTGTTTCTTGTTTCTCGATTCAAGCTCGATTCTCGTGTGTTTTCGACCCGGACTCGATATCGATTTTGACGCCGCTTGTTTACGCCGACACGTGAACATTTCGAGAACGCTTTTCGATCTGATTCCTCTTTGTTTTTCGCTGCAAACAAGTTTGTTGACACTCGACTTTTACGTTGCAAATTTTTTGACAACCTTTCGAACCTTTGAGGAGCTTTGGGTCTCGATGTTGAAGGTTAGATTAGATTCTTGATGTTGACGGTTAGATTAGATTCTTGATGTTGACGGTTAGGTTAGGTTCTCGATGTTGAAGGTTAGGTTAGATTCTCGATGTTGAAGGTTAGGTTAGGTTCTCGATGTTGAAGGTTAGGTTATTTTCTTGATATTGAATGTTAGGTTAAATTCTTGATGTTGAAGATTAGGTTAGGTTCTCGATATTGAATGTTAGGTTAAATTCTCGATGTTGAAGGTTAGGTTAGGTCCTCCGTATTGAAGGTTAGGTTAGATTCTCGATGTTGAAGCAAGTTTTGTTCTTTGATCAAGTGTCAAGTTATTCTTCCAAAAAATAGTTAATTTGCAATAATTTTTACAATGAACTTATTTATAAATTCCTAAGTCTAAACTATTAAAAATATATCTAGAAAGTGTAGCTAGAATTTGAGCGCATCTCCCGCGAAAAAGTGTAAGTAGAATGCGGTGTCACGTGTCAGACGTCTGCCCCGGCGCTTTGTTTTTATAAACGAACTTATCTGAATTCCAATTTCAATAATCGCTTTTTTCAAATAATTCTTGCGAAATTTCGCGTCATAGTTCCTGAGAATATAAAACGATCGATCGTATTAATAAACAAATTGATAATTCGTATATTCGCTAACAAACGTAAACTATTTTTACGATCGTTTTCATTATCAACGCTATCGTAAAAACTTCACGGTGACCTTAAATAGAATAGGTCCCGTTATCGAGGCTGAAAAAATACGAAAATAAAAGAAGCGTATTCTATCGTGAGCATAAAAACAGTGAAGATAGAAATAAAAAAATTGAAAGAAATCTCGAAAAATTTCACTGCTATGGACACATGAAATAATAAAAGAGATACTATACTTATTCTTACATAAAGTGTTATCTGCGCTAATTACACAACAAAATGCGAGTTACATCACTTGCAACTTATTTATCCATGCTAATAGTGACACTTAAACTTTATCTGAGTACCCTGCTGCGTTACTATATGCGGATTTTATGGTTTACGGAGGTACACTTGTTCGTGGTGGTTTTTTAATTTTTTAATTTTGGAGTTTGGAGTTTTTAGATTTTGGAGGTTTTGGAAATTTGGAGTTTGAGATTTTGGGGTTTTGGAAGGTTGGAAATTTTTAGGTTTGGGTGTTTGAAACTTTTTTGTTTGAGGGAGTTTGGGAGCTCGATATTTTGGAGTTTTGGAGTTTTAGAAATTTTTAGTTCTAGGTCTTTGAGATTTTTTGTTTGTGGGAGTTTGAGGGTTAAGGTTTCGGAGTTTTGGAATTTCAGAAATTTTCAAATTTTGGATATTTGAGATTTTTTTCTTGTAGAACTTTGGGGGATGAGAATATCGAAATTTTAGAATTTTAGAAATTTTCAGTTTTGCATCTTCAAGATTTTTTTATTTGTATGACTTTGAAGGGGTAGGATTTTTGAATTTTAGAATTTAAAAAATTTTCAGTTTTGCATTTTCAAGATTTTTTTATTTGTAGAACTTTGAAGGGGTAGAATTTCGGAATTTTAGAATTTTAGAAATTTTTAATTTTACAGCCTTAAAATTTGTTCTTTTATAGAATCTTGAGAGTTTTGGAATTTTAGAATTTTTCAATTTTGGATCTTTGAGAATTTTTCCTTCTGTAACTTCAGGTTTGAGGACTTCGACATTTTAGAATCTCAAAGTTGTTCACACTTAAAACTTTGAGATGTCCCATGTCTTGTTATGATTTTAAGGTTTTAGGAAATTAGAACAAATTTGAGCTTCAACAAATTGGACTTTAAAATAATAACAAATTTGGACTTTAAAATAAAACTTCAAGAATTTTCAAGTCTCTAGTATCTTCAAACTTTTCTTGAAACTTCTGAAACTTCTGCAACTTGAAGATTTTTTAAAGAATCTATAACAAAAGTATTTTATGACTTTGAGAGCTTCAGAACCTTCACCTTGAAAATTTTTTAAATTCCAAACCTTGAAAATTAGCAACCTTAAATTTGCAACCTTGAGTTTGCAACCTTGAACCATTCTAAACGCCCCAAAAACTCAGGAATCATAAAAAAAATAATCCCAGTAGCCCATAATATGTAACATTGAGAGACCTAATATATACTAATGTTATGTCTTTTTGTATCGTTTCAGGAAAAACTCGATCTGGATCGAGAAATTACCGTATCCGTCCACGAGGCCGGGAACGTCGTCGTTGGAGGAGAAATCGAGATCTGATATCGACTATGTAGTCGGTCCGATCAAGTGTAAGATCCATGGGTCAAAAGGGGCACGGAAGAAGGGGACTAATGTGGACCGCGACGACGACGCCGCCTGCTGCGATGGAAAAAACTCGCAGAAGAGGCATCGTGGCGGTCATTTTGGCTGCAGGCATCGACGACAGAGGCGTCGTCGTCCTAGCAAGGTAATTCTTCTTTTTTATATTTTTTACACTTTAGAAATTTCTTTTATTTTTAACTTGCAAAATTACACGTCACAAAACACACAAAACAAAGGTAAATAGATATAATAATATATCATGAAATTGTTTAGGTCAGGAAACAGTTTTACAAACAAAAAGTTCAGATAGGTTTATATATCTAGTTTTTTATTATTTCCATCATTCATCTTATTTTTTATAACATAGATTGTTTATTCTGTTTCCATAATTTATATAAATTATTATATTTTGGTGGTATTTCAATTTTGTTACTATGATTTGTTCAATTTTTATATTTTGTATGATTTATTCAATTTTCAAGGTTTATATGAATTATTTAATTTTATTAATTCATATGATTTGTTCAATTTTAATATTTTGTATGATTTATTCAATTTTTTTTGGTTTATGTGAATTATTTAATTTTAATAATTTATGTGATTTGTTCAGTTTTTATATTTTGTATGATTTATTCAATTTTTTTTGGTTTATGTGAATTATTTAATTTTAATAATTTATGTGATTTGTTCAGTTTTTATATTTTGTATGATTTATTCAATTTTTTTTGGTTTATGTGAATTATTTAATTTTAATAATTTATGTGATTTGTTCAGTTTTTATATTTTGTATGATTTATTCAATTTTTTTGTTTTATGTGAATTATTTAATTTTAATAATTTATAAGATTTGTTCAATTTTTATATTTTGTATGATTTATTCAATTTTCAAGGTTTATATGAATTATTTAATTTTATTAATTCATATGATTTGTTCAATTTTAATATTTTGTATGATTTATTCAATTTTTTTTGGTTTATGTGAATTATTTAATTTTATTAATTTATATGATTTGTTTAATTTTTATATTTTGTATAATTCATTTGACTTTTATGAAGTACACGATTTATGTGCATTTGAATGCATCATGTTAGAAGTACTAATACACTTGAATCCTCATAAATAAGTGGAGATTTTCTTATCGTGTTTATTCATTCATAATTTCACGTAATTATTTTTCTTGCGAAGAAAGCAAGTTTCGTACGATTTATTAATAACGCGAGGCAAAAACGCTGACAGTGTCTATGCAATGTTTATGCTTCGTTCCTGATCTACCATAGCTTTGATTAAAATTTGCTGATTTCTACAAACTTTTATTTCTGTTAATAGTTTGTGTATCTTTATACAATAAAATTAAATGCAAACTTGTTTATTTAATAATTGAAAACTTGTATATTTAGTGAAAGAATACTTGTACATTGTATGAGAGAAATCTTGTGCACTTTATAAGAGAAATCTTGTACTATTTAGTGATAGAAAATTTGTACATTTTATAAGAGAAATCTTGTACTATTTCGTAGCAGAAAACTTGTACTCTTTATAAGAGAAATCTTGTACTATTTAATAATAGAAAACTTGTACATTTTATAAGAGAAATCTTGTACTATTTAGTGACAGAAAACTTGTGCACTTTATAAGAGAAATCTTGTACTATTTAATAATACAAATCTTGTACATTTTATAAGAGAAATCTTGTACTATTTAGTGACAGAAAACTTGTGCACTTTATAAGAGAAATTTTATACTATTTAATAATACAAATATTGTACATTTTATAAGAGAAATCTTGTACTATTTAGTGACAGAAAACTTGCACTATTTAATAACAAAAAGCTAGTACATTTAATAAAAAAAAATCTTGCACACCTAACAAGAGAAAACTCATGCACTAAATAACATAAAACTTGTACATGCAATAACAGAAACTTCTCTCTTCTTTCCAGGCATTAGAAAGAATGCTAGCATCGAACTCGCCAAGATCAGCGAACAAGAGTTCACCGTTCCCTTAAAGAAGCGAATCGCCCCGTCCAAAGAAATCAAGAGAGAGAAACGACGATGTCCTCCATCTTTGGTACCGCAGGCACCAACAATCTCCGTTCTTTCTCCGCGAAGCAAAATTGAAAAAAAAAAAAACAAGAGAACGAAGGAAGTAAGTGAAAAAAATGGCCGAAGAGGACGGAAGTGTGCACGAACGTGTTAAGATGTCTAGTCCCATGAAACAGTGATAGATAATAAAAGCAAAAATTGGTCGTATTTTAAAGTCAAAGAGAGGCGAATCAAAGAAATCGTTCGATTGTCCTAACCTCGAGTCCGCAGTCAAGCCGTCGTGGAAGAACGAAAAGAACAGTGTGTGTGCAGAATTCTCGAAGAATTAGGAAGAGTAAATAGTCTCGGTAAAAACTATCGAGGTCTTTATAAAATCGAGTCGATTAATCGCGACTGGAATCGATGATTAATATAAGTCGCGCGATCTCCTAGAGAAAGACTTAAATACCAGTGCTGTATAATGTATATGTACGTATATATATATTGTTTTTATTTTTGTTCGTTTTTATTCGAAACGTTCTTCATTTTTTTTTTTTTTTTTGGTTTTTTTTTCGTCTGTAATTTAGTCGATACTCGACGACCGCCATTTTCTTGGTTGCCGATGACTCTCGAGCTCCCTTGTCGAACAATGATCTCACTAGTATTAACGTTAAGGATTTGTTATTATTATTATTATTATTTTGTTTTTGTTTCTTTTTTTTCGTAAATTAAATGAACTAGTCACTGAGGAGAACGGTCGGAGGCATCGGGCAACCGGGCTGATGGAACTGTCGGGGTTGGATTTAACCCTCGAGTTATGGATCTAGGGATATTTTTGGAGCGGAGATATTTTCGAGATGGAGATAATTTCAAGCTGGGAATATTTTCGAGTTATGGATGTTTTTGAATTAGGGATATTATCGAGCTAGGGATATTTTTGAAATGGGGATACTTTCAAGCTAAGGATATTTTCGAGTTAGGGATATTTTCAAGCTAGAGATATTTTTGAAATGGAGATACTTTCAAGCTGGGAATATTTTCGAGTTATGAATGTTTTTGAATTAGGGATATTATCGAGCTAGGGATATTTTTGAAATGGGGATACTTTCAAGCTAAAGATATTTTCAAGTTAGGGATATTTTCGAATTAGGGATATTTTTGAAATGGGGATACTTTCAAGCTAGGGATATTTTTGAAATGGGGATACTTTCAAGCTAGGGATATTTTCGAATTAGGGATATTTTCAAACTAGGGATATTTTTACTGTAAAGGGAAGGGTGTTAATATTTGGTGCTGAAATTTAAAAATTTAGGGACTTAGAAATTTGGAAATTTACAAATTAGAAAATTTCCAAATTTCAAAACTATAAAATTAGGAAATTAGAAAATTACTAAATTGAAAATTAGAAAACTAGAAAACTCCAAAACTTGAAATCTCAAAACTTAGCAAGTTACTAAATTAAAAAATAGCAAAATCAAAAACTAGCAAACTACAAAAACACAAAAACTCAAAAACCCAAAACCTCAAAAACCCAAGAACTCAAAAATTCCAAAACCCAAAAACCCAAAACCCCAAAAACTCAAAAACCCAAGAACTCAAAAATTCCAAAATTCCAAAATTCCAAAACCCAAAAACCCAAAACCCCAAAAACTCAAAAACTCAAAGCCTCAAAAACCCAAAAATTCAAAAATTCCAAAATTCCAAAACCCAAAAACCCAAAACCCCAAAAACTCAAAAACTCAAAGCCTCAAAAACCCAAAACCTCAAAAATTCCAAAATTCCAAAATTCCAAAATTCCAAAATTCCAAAACCCAAAAACCCAAAGACCCAAAAATCCAAAAACCCAATAACCCAAAAACCCAAAACCTCAAAAACTCAAAAACTGAAAAGTTTCCAAAACAAAAAATTATTGCAGAAAAACTCGATCCATAATTCGAGGGTTAAGATTGAAGGGAAACAAGAAAGCGAGTCAGACTCGCCTTCCTTCACCATCGATCGAACGTCAAACAAACTGTTGATCGTCTGTCTTTGCAACGATGTATCTATGGTTTTGTGACACGTTGTATTTTGTATGTCTTCGCTTAGTTAAGCATACGAAAGTGTAATTTTCCAAGTTAATTTTTTAACTTACTATGTCGTACTGTTGATTTAGATATGAAGGATATTCAGAATATTCGTTCTGAATAAATTGTTATAGTCACGTTCAACGTGTTAATATTCTAACCCCTTGCACTCGACATTTCACTAATTTATAAATTGTTAAGTTTTATGCGCTTTAAAAAAGCCGTTTTCTCAAAGAAAAAATTACTGAATCAATCAGTAAATAGAATTAATATTTATAAAATAATATATTAAGTTAGCGAACAAATTTGCGACCATGACATTATTTATTACAATACCAGTGAAAATATTTTATATTTATTTGAATTTTTCAACTTGATTTTATCGAGCGTTGCAAATTTAATTTGCCGACCTAATGTACATATATTTTTGTTAAAAATTTTGTTGAGGGATGAATTCGAGTACAAAGGGTTAAGTCCCACCGAAGAAGCAGGGATCTCGGATCCCAAAGAAGGACAAACATGTATTTCGAACGAATATTCGTTAATTACATTTTTATTGAATGTAATGTGATATCTGCCAGTTTCTGGCGTATTAGTGAGATTAAACTTCGAAGTTTATAGTTTGACGGCACTGTTTTTCCCTCGTGAAAAAGCAGAGCAGAATTTTAGACAATTTAACACGTTTTATATCGCACGAATATTTTTCGAGCAAAGAAACTTTTTTTATGAACATCGAGACTATTTTTATACGAGTTCGTACGGCATCAAACGTGTTAAACAAATTTGTATAGTTATATTCAAATAATTTGATGTATGGGACAAGACAACATTGATCGATCATTCAAAATGATAGTTGTAAGATAAAATTTCAATCTTGTCTTGCGTCATATCGCAAATTCTGTAATTAAAAAAAAAAATGTTTATATTTAACTGCAATGTCATCGAAACCATTTTTAAATTATAAAGTCATTCGTCAATAAAACTGTTATCGAAACATAATCTTGGTGTGCATTTATTTGTATCCTTCGATTCTGGACGGAGAAATGAGGTTAAGCGTCGTAAAGTTTTTTAGGGATCGTTAAATTGCAGGGAGTTTTGGGAGGTTTGTTTATGGAAGGTTTACGGTTCTTTATGTTACATGTTTTATGCGAATGAGGGTTGAGAATGATCGATAGTTAGATTAGTAAATGATTATTTCACGTTGGAATATTACGCGTTGGTTTATTACACGTTAGATTAGTGCACGTTGGAATATTACGCGTTGGTTTACTACAAGTTACATTAGCACGCGTTGCTTTAGTACTCGTTAGGTTATTACGCGTTGGATTACTACGCGTTGCGTTATTACACGCTAGATTACCACGCGCTGGAATATCATGCGTTGCTTTACCACACGTTAGATTACTACGCGTTGCTTTACTACACGCTAGATTACTACGCGTTGCGTTACTACATGCTAGATTACTACGCGCTAGAATACCATGCGTTGCTTTACCACACGTTAGATTACTATGCGTTGCTTTACTACACGTTAGATTACTACGTGTTGCTTTACTACACGCTGGATTACTACGCGCTAGAATACCATGCGTTGCTTTACTACGTGTTAAAATACTACGCATTGCTTTACTACTCGTTACATAAATACCTGTTGATCTAACAAATTTAATTTGACAAATTAAACGAATTTGATAAATAATGTAATTTGACAAATTTTATAAACAATGTTATTTAATAAATTTTATAAATGTCATTTAACAGATTTGATAAATACTGTAAATTGATAAATTATATAAATAATGTACATTGAAAAATTTGATAAATAATACAATTTGACAAATTTAATAAATAATGCAATTTTATAAGTTCTATAAACAACACAATTTGACAAATTTTACAAATAATGCAATTCGACAAATAATTTCCCTTCAAAACCCAATAAACACAAATAAAATTTTAAATCATTAAATACTTGTATTTAACAACTTCAACGATGCCACTAAAAGTTATAAATATTAATCAATATTTCTAATGCTAAATAATAAAAAAAAAAAAATCGAAAGTTGAACATTAATCTTCTCAAAAAATATTTAAACTTTGAAATAAATATATAAACTTAATTTCCAAAACTATAATCAAACACATCTATTCTTGTCACAAAATGGCGTCTCATTTTGAGAATAAAAAAACATTGATACATAAGAATGCCAGAAGTGTTCGAACGATCCGTGCAGCAACGCGGAAAACGGGACAAGTTGGTCACGAAATCCGGCAATAAACTCAGTTGGACCTTTTATTGAACTCTCGAGGATCTTTGTACAAATTACAGAGCCAGAATAGACGAAACGTGGTGCACGAGAGTCGAGTTCGACACGTTGTCACCAACGTGACCGGCTAACGATTCAATCTGCGTGTGGATGCACCGAAATGCACTCTATAGCGACATTCTAAACCGTGATGCAATCGTTTGCTTCACTCTTCTATTCGTCTGTGGACAATAGAAAATTAGGGTCTCAAATTCTTATGCTTCTTTTTTCTAATATTAATTCCTGGAATATATATTTATATTAACATGTTGCATTCCTTTTTTGATATCCATTCATTTTAAATATTCGTTCTTGAATTTTTATGTAGGTTATACTAATTTATGGCTATTATGTGGTATTCTAACGGGTAGTAATCTAACGTGTAGTAAAGCAACGCGTGGTATTCGAGCGTGTAGTAATCTAACGTGTAGAAAAGCAACGCGTGGTATTCCAGCGTGTAGTAATCTAACGCGTAGTAAATCAACGCGTGGTATTCTAGCGTGTAGTAATCTAACGTGTAGTAAAGCAACGCGTGGTATTCTAGCGTGTCGTAATTTAACGCGTAGTAAAGCAACGCGTGGTATTCTAACGCGTGGTAATCTAACGTGTAGAAAAGCAACGCGTGGTATTCTAGCGTGTAGTAATCTAACGCGTAGTAAAGCAACGCGTGGTATTCTAACGTGTAGTAATCTAACGTGCAGTAAAGTCACGCATGGTATTCTAGCATGTAGTAATTAAATAAATAAACTTTAGACAGGTCTCTATACATACAAATATACATACATGTACACACAACGTTTATATACAATCGCAGATACAAGAAATGTAAAGATAAACCATTGTTTACCACATGTCAACATTAACCCCTTTCCAATAGAAGATGGCGTCACCGTCGTGTAAATAGAAAGAAACAGATTTGTCCGAGGTTGTCGTAAAAGAGACCCGTTGCTAATTACAGAACACATGTCATTTTGCGACGCAAAGACTTAATGCCCCCTGTATCTGCGAATTTTATTGCTCGGGGGTGCACGTTACGGCCGGAAATAGTTACGGCACGAAAATAAGTTTAACGATCGTTGGCGGAATCCGTTTTCACGGTTCTTAAAAGTCTTTGAAATTAATACCTACTTTCTTTTCACTATATCTGTTCGGTTCTAAATTAGAAAGCATTCGTTTGAGTATGTCTCGTTTGTTCTTTTTGAGAAGATGATTGACATTTTTGGTTCTTGTGGTGGGTTTGGAAGTTTTGGAGATTTTAAGGATTTTGGATGTTGGAGCTTTGGGGAGTGGGATGAAATTTTCTGGTTTTGTCAAATTTTTAAAATTGGAAAGTGAGAAATTATCAAATTTTTATGTTTTTAAGTTTTTGAAGACACTAATTCTTAAATTAGTAAATTGTTAACATTGTAAGTTCTGAAAGACCCAAATTATCAATTCCTAAATTCACAAAGATCGAAATTGTTAATTTCCGAAATCTCAAAATCAAACTCTTAAATTTTTTAAATTTCTAATTTCCCACTAGCTAATTTCCCAAATTTCTAAATTTCCCTGTTCTTCATTTTCTAATTTCCCAATTTCCCACTACTTAATTTCCCAAATTCCTAAATTCCCCTCTTCTTGTTCTTATAATTTCCAAATTGTTCACTATCTAATTTCCCCAATTTCCCAATTTCCCAAATTCCTAAATTCCCCCATTCTTCATCTTTTAATTTCCCAATTTTCCACTATCTAATTTCCCAACTTTGTTCATCCCCTTATTCTCCACCTCCCAATTTCCTAATTTCCCACTATTTAATTTCCCAACTTTGTAAATTCCCTTCCTGTCCACTTCCCAATTTCCTAATTTCCCAAATTTCTAAATTGCCCTAATCTCCACCTCCTAATTTCCTAATTTCCCACTATCTAACTTTCCAACTTTGTTCTTTCCCCCATTCTCCATCCCCCAATTTCTAAATTTCCCTATTCTCCATCTCCCAATTTTCTAATTTCCCACTATCTAACTTCCCAACTTTGTAAATTCCCCTATTCTCTACCTTCCAATTTCCTAATTTCCCAACCTTGTTCATTCCCCTCTTCTCCACTTCCCAATTTTCTAATTTCCATCCACCTAATTGTCCAACTTTGTTCATTCTCCTATTCTCTACTTCCCAATTTCCTAATTTCCCATCACCTAATTTCCCAAATTTCCAAACTTCCCTATCCTCCACCTCCCAAACCCCAAAATCCCTAAATTCCTCTATTGTAAAAATACAAATATACAAAGTCGGAAATTTTCTACATCGTATAGAAGTAGATGTAGACCCAACGCAACTCGAACCCATTACTACTTGCCTCTGCCATTATATTCTTAAAGCCATTAAACGCTGCACACGGTTCGCTTATAAATTGGATGATAGTAGCAAACCAACTACGGGACATCGTCTCTAGTGATTCTCGCATGCAACTGCACTATCAGCCTAAAGATTCTTGCCGTTTGATAGTTCAAGGCGAACTGACATAATTTCCTTACTTTTCACGGCCATATTGAACTGTTTCGTTAAATCGCCTGTTCGTAACTCGCCGGTACATGGTTGCTGAAGTTTCATTCGGTAATCAGATATTGTCACGGTTATAATTGCTCTGATATCATATTCGTGAAGTGTAAATTTATGATTGTAATTATAATTCAGAATAAAATTTATAATTATAATTATAATTCCGAATGAAATTTATAAGATTTGAATTTACAATAAAATTTGTAAACTGAATTATAATTATAACGTAATTATTTAATCAATTATTTTTAAATATTATTTAATAATTTAAAATTATAATTCACAATAAAATTTATGAACTGTAAATTTTTTACAATTGCATTTTACAATAGAATTTATAAACCATTTTACAATTATAATAATAGACAGAATATACTATTCAAGATCAATGAATAGTCAAAAAATTATTTTCAATGGCACAAGAAATATATAATAAAAATCTATGTATAAATTGCATAAACATTCAGTCGACGCAAATACAACCTAATTCCAACCAACAATCCAGATTTTTACAACAATTGTTTGATAAACTGTTTATCAGATCACAAAAAGAAATTCGACAAAAGAGTGTTACATTAACAATAACATAAAATTACGAGTGTTACATTAACAATAACAAAATTAAAACAAATATATTAAAAGATTTTATTGCATAAAGATCCTCGAAGCTCTCCGAGAATTTAAGTACAATTAAAATAATCATAGATCTTCGACATTCTTCAAATTTCCATTCGACATTCCAATAGTAAATCAAATTCTCAGTTTCAATATCCCATACACGGAATTAGACTCGGATTATCGTAACACAATTTCGGATTCGGACAACATTTTGTAGCGACGGTTTGAAAAATCTTCTTCTTAAAATCCTTGGAATTTCTGGGCAAGCGGTCACCGACCTCCTCGTAAAGTTCCTCGAGTTCGTCTGAACTTAGGTCGAAACCCAGAAGCTCGTCCGGTTTCTGAAAATAATTTAAACAATTAATTAAGTGTTCTTCAAAATAACTGCATTATTTAATGTGTATAATTGTAACTTGATATTCTATGAAATTAATTATTTATAACTTTTAATGGACAAGATCAGAGTTTTATACAATAATGGTTTTTTCATAAAGAAAAGAGTTAGATAAAATTTTGTTGTGCGCTTCTTATTGTTAATATACAAAAATATATACAGGATGTCCCACAACTAGTGGTCTCTGAAGTAGGGGGTAGCTGACGTGATTCTGAATAAGATTTCCCTTTGCAAAAATGGGGTAGGAAGCTTCGTTTTTGAATTATTAAGGAAAAACGCGGACCAATCAGAGTGCGAGGATTACGCATGCGCAGACGCGAGAGCGACAGCTTCGAGCCTAGTGGCTAAG